GTGGATGTGGGTGTGGGTGTGGGTGTGGGTGTGGGTGAGGGTGTGGGTGTGGGTTGGTGGGTGTGGATGTGGGTGTGGGTGTGGGTGTGGATGTGGGTGTGGGTGTGTGGGTGTGGGTGTGTGGGTGTGGGTGTGGGTTGGTGGGTGTGGATGTGGGTGTGGGTGTGGGTGTGGGTGTGGGTGAGGGTGGATGTGGCTCTGGAGGAAGAGAACACTCACACCTAAACCAACTCACACCCAAACCAACTCACACCCACACCAACTCACACCCAAACCAACTCACACTCAAACCAACTCACAGGTACACTTACACCCACGCCCACATCCTCTTCATAAACAATTATCATCATACACATCATTAAACAATTTCAGTTCAATGAACATTCATCCATGAATATTTTCTATTCTTATGGCAGTATGTGGTGGAATATGTTTCAAATCTGATGATAAAAACATTCTAAAGATTGATTTCTCATTCGAGCAAATGAGTCATCAATCATCTATCTTTTACCACCAATACTGAACTACTTCGCCAATACTAAAGTAGCTGATTTAATCAAAGTTCAAACATTGGTAAAACAATATGAAAGTATCATTGAAAAGTTTTTGCCAACAGATACATCACTCAGCATTATTGATACTTTTATTGCTCTGATTTTTTTGCAAGGTGTTTTACAACCATTATTTTATCGAAAATACCTTCATTATCAAGCATTACCATTGGCGATCAATAGATTAAAATGAACATGGTTTTATTTAAAAAGGTTAGACAAGAATAAAAATAATTTAAAAAGTGAAGTCTAAACAATTATAAATATATTCTTTTCACAATCGAATCAATCCATTGAACAACAAATCACTTTTTCATTAGCATGCCCCGCTGCTTGGGAAAAACTCGACATTGGTGGCACATCAGATTGGCTAAAATTTAAAATTTTACTTACGAAAAATATCAGTCAATATTCAAAGTTTCAACCCGAATTCGTTAGTTCTACTGAACGATCGAATGTCATTCAAATAGTACAAAATATTTCTTCATTGAAAATGTTTCATCAAAAATTAATTTTTTTGCTGACTTTTATACCACAATCTCTTCAACAATTGTTTTATCGCATGATCACTACTTCCATTGATACTACTGAATCATTACCATTAGTTTTACTCTTGTCACAATGTTTAATTTTATTGGAAACTTTGAGTGAAATTAATGAAAATCTCGGCCATGCCCTATCAACATTACAATCATTATTTAAAGATTGTATGTTAGAAAATTGTGCTACAGTGCTCTTAGGAGAACAGCGGATTTCTAGAGTGTATGATAATATTCAATTCAAAGATTTTTTCAAGAATATAGACGATATGATATCTCAGAAATTACTTATCCATCGACCAATAGATTGGGAAATGCTTATTAACACAGAACATCCAGAGAACGATTTAAAACTTTTTGCTTCATCGATATCACTCGCTAAAGTTTTTCAAAGTCAATATCTTTTTCATCATTCTCAACAAACAAGATATATCAATATTTCTTCCGATGAAAGCGCATTTGTACATTCTGCAATAGTAAACATTCATGATTCAATTTTACGCATCATCGCTTTAAGTTTCATTTTGGAGATGAAAAATCTATCTATATTTAATCATGAACAAGAAGAACAATTGTAAGATGAAATGATTTGTCAGTTGAAGAACTTACAACCAAATCTTTCATTATTAAAATATACTCTTTTATTTATTCGATGTTATTCAGTACATTCGTCGTTTTCAGCATCTTTTAAACTTATGGCAAATATAATAGGTGAAAAGTTGATTAAAACTCCAATCGATAAACAATGTGACGATGAAGAAGCGGCTTTTATTACATTAAGAAAACTCAACAATACAGATCTTTTCTCTTATTTATCAGAGTTTGTGAAACGAACGACGAACATATCTAATCCTATTCAATTCAATTCAGTCATATTCTCTCAATAATTTCTTAATACTACAAACTTTAATTCATCGAATACTATTCTTCTATCGTCTATGTATTTAGTTGAACTGGCTTTTCATATTCAACATTTAGATATGTTCATTTATTATGAACAAAAAAGAATAAAATTCCATCTTAAGATGAGTTTAAACGTCTGTGGGGTGACTCATGTAAAACTTCAAATATAATAACATTTAAATTCATATCATGGATTACTGATTATTTGTTTATGTTACACAGAGGAGAAGTTCATTCGATTAGTCTAGATATTTCCTTTGGTAGAATAGTCGAAAAAAAGCACTTTTCGTAATTCAACATTGGCTTGATTATCGAACAGATAAAGACTGGAGATTTTTTCGGCATTTTGCTGCATTACAATTGGTTATCGACGGTTCAAATACTCCTCAATTAATTGATACTATCAATGAGATGTTTACTATTGATAGAGACTTTCGTTTACAAGATATTGTAAAACAATCGTTTACTTCTCAACTTATCAATATAGCTATTCTTCGTCAAATATTGGTCAAACTACATCAATCTATTGATTATTCTTCGAAAGTTTCTATTTGGATTGAATGTAAAGAAATATTTGAGTTAATTCTTAATTTAGAACTTGAACGAATAATATAAAATACACATCAACCATTTGTAATTATAAACAGATCCAATTTATTAATGATTAAAGGTTGTTCAAAAAATTTACAAATGTGTCTTATTGAATATCTTTGATTCTTTGTTGATGTTAAAACTGAAATTGAAAATTCTATAAGAGAAAAATTTCCTTCTATTATTATCAAATGGATTACTGATTGTTACATTTCAATTGAAAATACACAACCGTTATTAATCAAATTTTATCAATATATTTTTACATTTCTAGATAATCGACAATTCTCTGAAGTTTATAAGACAATTTTGATGCTCTTAATACTTTATTTATTTTTCTACAATCATCAAAAGATAATATTCTTTTTTAACAAATTGTAACACCTTATTTGTTCAATATTATTAATTCATATACAATGTATTCAAAAGATATTTTATCTATTGATTTATTAGTTTTTGGTAATTATTTACTTAAATTTAATGNCCAACACTCACGCCCCACACCCCACACCCACACCAACACTCACGCCCCACACCCCACACCCACACCAACACTCACGCCCCACACCCCACACCCACACCAACACTCACGCCCCACACCCCACACCCACACCAACACTCACGCCCCACACCCCACACCCACACCAACACTCACGCCCCACACCCACACCAACACTCACGCCCCACACCCGTACCCACACCCAAACCCTCAGCCACAAAAAAGTGACTTCAGATTCGAATTCCGGGCCCTCAATAACCTATAGCAAATTTCCGTCAAAATTGCGGAAAGCCTTAAAATAAGCTAACCTCTCATATATGTTTTTTTGACCTTGCGACAAGCAAACGGACAAACTATTTTTTTTCATATGACCCTTCCTATAGTCGAGGGAATTTTGGTTTCTAACAAAATATAGACTTCTTATCCTTGACAAATTATCAGCATTATACGAATTCTATAAGTAGTAAAAGAAATCATATTTTCCTGATGTATTATAGCAACTGCATATACAAAAAAAGAATTGTGATATCAGGCTGACTGGCAACTCATATATATGTACGCAAAACACTGAATAGAACATGGCAAAATAAAATGAATCGATGTCGAAGAATGGCTCATTAGTCAACAACGTTCGTTTCGACCAGTCGAACAAAATAAATTAATTTTCAGCGGTAATTCAGTGTTATTGGCTGTTTTACGAACTTTCGAGATTTTCAATGTTCGGTATTTTACCTTGCGAGATTTTATACCTCGATTTTCTGCATTTCGATATTTTCATATTCAAGATTTTGCTCTTCGGTCTTATTTCTTTCGAGCAAGTAACACTTCTCCATTGGAATTAAATTTTATTTTTTATTTTATTTACAATTAGACACTAATTGTGGTTCATCTATCAACAATGAACAAAAGAATAAAATTCCATCTTTGGATGAGTTTCAACGGCTATAGAATCATTCATGGAAAACTTCAAAGATAATGACCTTTGAAGTTGCATCATGGATTACCAATTATTTGTTTATGTTAGACAGAAAAGAAATTCGTTCGATCATTCGAGATATTTCCAATTGCAAAATGATCGAAAAGAAAAAAGATTTTCAGTAATTCAAAATTGGCTTGATTAGCGAACAGATACAGATTGGAAATTTTTTCGACATTTTGCTGCATTACAATTCGTTATCGACGGTTCGGATACTCCTCAATTAATCGAACTTATTAATGAAATATTTACTACTGATAGAGACTTTCGTTTACGATAAATTGTAGAACAATTATTTACTTCTCAACTTGTCGATGTAGCTGTTCTTCGTCAAATCTTAGCCAAACTACATCAATATATTGATTATTTTTCCAGAATTTTTGTTTGGATTGAACGTAAAGAAATATTGGAGTTAATTCTTAATTTCGAACTTGAACGAATAATTTCAAATAAACGTCAATCATCTAAAATCACAACGAGACCCTATTTATTAATGATCGAAGATTTATACATTTATCTTATTGAACATCTTCGATTATATGTTGATGTTAAAACGGAAATTGAAAATTCAATAAAAGAAGAATTTCTTGTTATTATTATCAAATGGATTACTAATTGTTGAATTTCGATTAAGAATGAACAAACGTTATCAATGAAATTTTACAAATCTATATTTACATTTCTAGATAATTCACAATTCTGTGAAGTTCAAAAGCCGATTTCTGATGCTCTTAATTCTTTATTTATTTTTCTAAAATCACCAGAAGAAAAAATTCTATTACAAAAAATATCTTGACCTCATTTGGTCAATATTATTAATTTATATAGAACATATACAGAAAATATTTTATCACAATTTGATTATTAGTTTTTGGTAATTATCTACTCAAATTAAATCAATCTGAAATAATGAAAAAAAAATTTATTCATTCATCTCTTCGAAACATCAACGTCAGAAATCATTTCTATTAGAGTTCCTTTTTGTTTCATTTTCACACAATATTCAAATATAACATTCGATACAATACAAAACTGATTTAGAAATAAATTAAATATGAATTCTGAAAAGAAATATTCTATACTATTATAACAAATTTTATATTATAATGAGAATTCATTAGATGATCAGGGTATAAGATTACTTATTGAACATATACGCACGTATTCTACTGGGACTATGGACAAATTCCTTTCTTGAATTTTATAATTATTTATGGAATGAATATAAGAATAATTATTTTTCTCTTTTAAACCTAATTATATTCATATAGCAATGGAATTAATTGACGAAGATTTTAATGTATTTCAAAATGCTGTTGAGAAAAATTCTTTTGGTGAAGAAAATTTTCAAAATGCACTCTATCATTGTTTCTCTTATTCAAGTAATGAAATCGACTGTACAGCATTTGTTAATCTTTATGCTAAATTTGGTATAATCACTATGAAACTTGTGAATATGCTAGAATCATCGAAAAATTCTTATGATGATCATATACGGAACTATTTTGATGATACTAAACGAATATCAGATCAAGATGTTATTGAAAACTTATCATCTGATCATAATTATATAGATGAACTTGATAAAAATCATATTTTTCAATATTTACTTAATCTTAGTTGTGCGAAAGAGACACAATCATCGTTATCGAAAGTAGAATTAATTACTGAAAAAGATCTTGACAAAGAATTTGATAATGAACTTTATTATATTAATAAGAAATCAGTTCTATTTCTTAAAAGAAATTATTTCCTTAACGAAGTTCAAACAGTTTTTAGTAATTGTGTCTGAAAATGATATGTATTTGATAATAACTAAGCAATTGTCTCATTATTTGATAAAATTCAAAATGATATAGATTAGTAAAGTTTTTTTCAATGATTATTAAATGATTGTTTACAGAGACCGAAAATGATCTAATTGTGTTCGGATAATCGATCAGAAGAATAAATAATTACTAATATAATTTGAAATTTTAATCGACACTTTCATCATTTCTTTTGTGAATATATAGGTGTATTTTGATGTAAAAACGAGCTTTTTCCTTTTTAAGAAGATAATCTTCTAGCAGATAAATCATCAATACTGTATACTTTTAATTATTGTAGCCTCTATATGAGTTACTTGTTCAGATAAGTCAGTTATATACATCAAGAGAGAGAAAAATAACAATATTCAAATACAAAAACAATAAAAAAAAGAAGCATTCTAATTGTATTTCCTTGTCATTTAATGAAAAAAATTTAATACAGAATAGTTCTTCTCGTTTAACAAAGGGTCACATTCAGTATATGAAAGATAAACTCAACGGTAGTTCTAAGTTAAAATAATAATCGTTTTCGATAAATTTATAGCAAAACGGAACATTCAAAATGTTCAGTAGCGTTTCACTCTACACAAATAAACATCGACACTTTCGGCGAGTCGATTTAAAAAGATTTACATAACTTGCATTCAATTTATTAAGCGTGTTTTGATTTTAATAACGATGTTGAAGGAAAAAAATATGCGATGGCGTCTCAACTAATCATCATTTACTTGTCAATGTTTTCGATTGAGATCCATGAACATAAAACATACAAAGAAAGAGTAGTAGGGAAGATACGAGGAGAACAAGACTCCCCTGCTGGCAAAAGCAAATTAGGTNTAAATAAATGAAAGCATAAAGCCAATCAATCTGATCATTAGAGTCGGTCTCAACCACTTTTCTTCTACTAAATCTATTCTTTGCAAACAACATGAAGCTTGTGTTCAACGTTTTCCATTCAGCCTCTAAATCCGAATTTTAGTCACCAATAGCGTCATTGATATGAATTGGTAAAAAAATGATCAATTTTGCATTTCATCTACTAGCAGATGCACAATCCGATTCAGCCGAAACTTTTCTTGACCATTGCAGAAGATGAAAATTTATGCCTTCTATTGACATTGTCATTCTCTCGTTTTCATAGACCATCGATCTAAATTGTGATGGAGTTGGACAGGAGTTGATGCGCATAGCATCAATAGGTCTTCCATTCTCAATTAATATCTTTATATATTGTTAATCTCGCCTCATTCGATTTTATTTCTCGTGCAGAGGCCAAAGTCATCGTTTTAAGGTTGATAATGACCGATTACAGTCGAAAATTCCTCTTTAGTAACATATACAAAAAACAAGAAATCTCCATTATTCTCAGTAACTATTAATTTCAAATCCCAAGTGATTCATTTATACTGATTCATATCATCAACGAGACTGTTATCTATTTTACATGCTTCACACAAGTATCTCTTCAGTAGCGAACAAAATCGACACATCCTTTCCCTTATTCTCGTTCTCAAATACGTTAATGCATATTAGTGAAAACGAGAAAAGATAAAAATAAACCCGTTATCACAGTACACACATAAAATATATCATTCTTGCAATATACAAGCAGCCGTTCTAAATTTTTAACATGCAATAACCCTGTGTCTAAATCAGTAATACAAACGCCAACCCCAAGAACAAAGAAATATAAAAACAACAATATAGCGGCATTACTGATCACTTTTCTTGGCCGTCGTCTTTCGCGAGAAAAAGCAAACCCTACCTACCAATTAGGGTATGCATGACCAGCCTCCACAAATTCAGAGAACGGAGCGAGAAAAAAAACCCTCACTAAAGGTATATATAAACACACACAATACACCAAATAACAATCGCAAATATAGCAAAAAAACCTAATACTTACCTGTCAAGCACCAAACAACAACCGTAAATACTGTCAATTGCCAATCATGCATCTCAAGGTAATCGTTTTCATGTCCTTGCTGACCGTCGCAACCGCCTGGCCAGCTCTCAGAAGTTTCGAGAGCAACGAAGATAATGGCCGTTTCGCCGACCGTCCTGCTCTTCGTCAGTTCCTCGAGATGCTGCTAGCCAAACGTACAAACCGTTGACTTATGCCGTACTTCCCTCAACAATCCATTCCTCCTCAACTTTCAATCAAAAACGCGCATCAACTGAACACAATCTTGGTAAATAGAATACATTTGTCATTTGATCTTGACTCATAGATTCAACACCATTCTACCACTTCGATGCGAATCAAAAAGATGAATCGAATCTTTTTGAATAGTATTCCTTTGTGATAAGATGTTTACTCCTAGTTTCAACATCATTCTACCACCTCGATGCGAATGAAAAAGATGAATCGAATCTTTTTGAATAGTATTCCTTTGTGATAAGATGTTTACTCATAGTTTCAACATCATTCTACCACTTCGATCCGAATCACAGAGATGAATAGAATGTTACTGAATAGTATTCATTTGTCATATGATCTTTACCCATACGTTGAATAATATTCAATAACTTCGATGCGAATCAAAGAGATGAATACAATGATCGTGAACAGCATTCATTTGTCAAATGATGTTTACCCATACGTTGAAAAATATTCAATAACTTCGCTGCGAATGAAAGAGATGAATACAATGATGATGAATAGTATTCATTTGTCAAATGACGTTTACCCATACGCTAAATACTATTCAATAACCTCGATGCGAATCAAAGAGATGAATTGAGTCTTTGTGCAAACAATTCATTTCTCCCGCAATCTTTACTCATAGATTCAACATCATTGTACCAATTCCATACGAATCGAAGAAATGAATACAATGGTACTGAATAGTATTCCTTTGTGATAACATCTTTACTCATAAATTCAACATTATTCTGCCACTTCGATGCGAATCAAAGAGATGAATAGAATGTTGATGGATACTATTCATTTGTCATATGATGTTTACTCACAGGTTCAACATCATTCTACCACTTCGATGCGAATCAAGAAGATCAATAGATTCCTCCTGAATAGTATTCATTTGTCATATGATACTTACTCACAGGCTCCACATCATTCTACCACTGCGATGTGAGCCAAAGATACAAATGGAATGTTAATGAATAGTATTCATTTGTCATATGCCGTTTACTCATAGGTTCAACATCATTCTACCACTACAATGCGGATCAAAGACATGCATAGAACGTTGGTGAATAGTATTCATTTGTCATATGATATTTACTCATAGGTTCAACATCATTCTACTACTTCGATGCGAATCAAAGACATGCATAGAACGTTGGTGAATAGTATTCATTTGCCATATGATATTTACTCATAGGTTCAACATCATTCTAGCACTTGGATGCCAATGACGGAGATGAATAGATGCTTACTGAATAATATTCATCGCTCATATGATGTTTACTCATACGTTCAACATCATTCTACCACTTAGATAAGAATCAAACAGAAGAATGCAATTTTTGTGAGACGTATTCATTTCTCACACGGCCTTTAGTCATAGATTCAATATCATTCTACCACTTCGATGCGAATCAAAACCGTGAACAGAATCTTCCTGAATAGTATTCATTTGTCACATGATGTTTACTCATACGTTCAACATCATTCAACCTCTTCCATGCGAATCAAACACATGAATAGAAACTTTGTGCAAAGTATTCATTTCTGGCTCCATCTTTACTAATCGCTTGAACATCATTCTACCACTTCGATGCGATCGAAATAGATGAATCGAATCTTTATGAATAGTATTCCTTTGTGATAAGATGTTTACTCCTA